AGAAGGGGCATGCTGCAGACACTGTCAGTCAAACTATTCCAGCTGGCAGGGTCCAGGAGAAGAGGGTGTCTGTGGTGGCCCAAGCTCTCTGCCAGCGAAAACAGAGCTTGGGGGGAGGGGCACGAGGTCCTCCTGAGCTCCATTTTCACTGGTAGAGGCACCACAGGCTACTCCTTTGCTGTTTTTAGGGTGGCCCCACAGGCCAGATCTAAGCACCCTGCAGGCCGGATCCAGCCCCCGGGCCTTGAGTTTGATACCCCTGCATAAGAGCCTTAAAACTGGATCAGCCAATGGGCCTGGGGACCCAATGTGGGTGTTCCATGTTGGAGGTTGTTAGTCAACTAGGAAGAACATTCCACCCCCACCCTATAGTATCCTGGTTTTAAACATATTTAATTTTGGTTTATTTTATATTTAATGCTTTCATGCTAGTACCTCTGTTTTTATGATGTCTGTAAGCCAACCAGAGTTGCTTGTTAGTGAGATGGGTAGCATATAAATTTAATAAATGAATACATCTCTTCAATAACATCCCCTGTATGGCAGTTCTGGTAGTTATAGAAAATAAAAACATTAAAAGATTACCTTTCTAAACTAAGATTGCAGAGATGCCCCCCCCTTCAATTCTCCCCATTTGCAGTTGATTACTGGGTCTTGGTAAAACAATTTCAGGTGTAGAAAGAGAACATCTAATTGTCATAGCCTAGGTCAGGGGTGTCAAACTCGATTTCAATGAGGGCTGCATCAGGGTTGTGTTTGACCTGGGGGGTGGATGAGTGGCCAGGGTGGGCGTGGCTAGCTTGATGTCACTCCTGTCAGGGGCACCTGTGGGGCCTAAGTGCTCTGCCAGCAAAATCGGGCTCCCGAGCTCCGTTTTTGGCTGCCTCAGCCTCCTGCAACCCTCTGCCAGTGAAAGTGGAGCTTGGGAGCCCGTTTTTGCTTGCAGAAGCACTGCAGGCCTGTCCTTTGCTGTTTCCAGGGGCCCCACGAGCTAGATCTATGTACCTCACAGGCCGGATCCGGCCCCTGGGCCTTGAGTTTGACACCCCTGGCCTAGGCCATTCTTTTGTTAATAGTAGCAGGGTTTACACTTATCAGTGACTCAACTGTTCTTTCGTCTAAAGCACTTTAAATTTCTTCTCTTTCCCCTTATGAGAAACAATCTGATGTAGTGGTTAAGGCACTGTGACTAGTCCTACTTTAGGCACAAAACTAGCCAGGTATCTAAAATGTCTAGTCAAGCCATTTAAGTTGAATATCTGAAAAATTCTGCCAAAGTCCTGAGTAAGCTGGCGCCAATAATTGCTGGCTTATCACAGTAGAAGAATGACACTGAGTCTGGATTGATTAACTAAGAAAAATAAGGTGACAGCTGGCTAGCTGGCTGGAGGAAGGCCCTTCAGAGATAAAATCAGGACAATCTTCTCTTGAAAAGCAGAACAGAACAAGCAAAGCACCAACTTGCCAAGTTGATGAAAACCTTTAGGGAATGTAAGATGGGAGAGAGTGATCTCAAAGTCGCAGAACAACTGTCATCTACATAGTGGCATGTATTCCAATACATGCATATATGGATTCCTGACAGATAGTCAATGGCAACACATTGGTAAAGATCCTTAGGGATGTGGAAAGACTAAAAGAGAGGATAAATAAATGGTAACAAAACTGACCACCCATTTTCACACTAAACATCCCCACTGACAACAAATAGCATTTACACTAGGTTATATTTCATAAGACTTGAAGAACAGATTTAGAGTCATTCATTCATTCATTCATTCATTTCCATGGCAGTGATTACCCTAGAAAAATGCTGCAACTGTAATTCACCACATGCTTTATCTGTTGTTTGGACAAGCTATGATTTGGGCTAGGAAATTTCTCTTTGCTCATCCAATAGATGAGTAAAACAAGCAATAGTAAATGCTAATGACAGGCTGTACAGGCCCAATGTTTCATATTTCTAAAGGAAACGGAGATGAATATCATTTGCACATTGCCTCAAACTTCCAATCCACAGGAAGTCACTTGATTCAGAGACTGAATCCTGCTTTAAGTGATTTCTATTACCGAAGTATATTTTTTGGCAATGAATGACAGAAAAATAACATGACTTCTGTTCTATAGTACTTTATATTTTTCTAGTCTAGTAGTTATAGACGCAGAAGCTGCTTCAGGGTTGGCAAGCACAGTGAGCTACTGTGCAGCAAATATCCATGTGTACAATTTGAAATCTGCGATGAATTGCTATAACTAAGCTTAAGAGTCATACAAAAAAGCTGTTAAGAACATAGTTTATTTCCTTTAGTTTAGGCATAGGCAATACCAACTGATCAAGTGCATAGCCTTCCATCTTTGAAAGAGAAACACACTAACTATCACTAAGACTCCTTGAAACCTGAGCAGGCAAGCACTGCACATTCATTTCAAAAGGAGGACTCATAACTGCTGTAGTAGCAGAGTTAACATGAAGGCAAGTGTTTGCATTATCTAAGAAATGATTGGTAATCTTACTAGAATCGATGTTGGAAGGGCAGTAATGGTACCTGGAACTGCAAGTCATAATCAAATGTGGTTGTGTCAAAGTAAGTTAATGTGTTGAATGTGATTCTGAGTGGAAATCATGTGAGTGATGCACCAAGGATGTCTAAAGATAATAACTCCTGCTGTCCATTCAAAGGGAATAATAATATAAGCAATAAAGCCCAAAGTCCATCTCATTTCCAGCTTCAAGAATGATCATTAAGTGATGATGATGTAATATGACATAAATGTTATTCTTGATCTGGTCTGAGAACAATACTTAGAACAATGCTAAGAAAATGGAGATTCTTGAAAATTTGAAGAGAATGGTTGATAAAAGATTGGAAGAGAAGAGTTTGATAAGCTATTTGTGCAATAGCTTGACAGTTGAGCAAGTTATGTTTTTGTTCACCTTTATCCTAAAAACGGAATGCCTTCTTAAGCTCTCTATATAAGATTGTACTGGTATAGGATGGAGTTGACTAAATGGGTTAGTTAACTGCCAGCGACTTTATTCAAGGTAAGTGTAGAGGAATCCAGCATCATTGGATGTAGCTAATACAAGGGCAGTATGGATGACTCTAGTACATATAATGTCTAAAGGTGCTGTGATTAATGATGATTCATTTTGGCTCAGAGTAAGATGCTTCTCCACATGAGAATATTTGTTCATTGATGGAACAAGGCAGCTCCAACAGGAAGAGAAGGGAAGGATTCAGAACTAAAAGTGATGGAATGAGATGGTGAAATTCACATGGAGATTACATGAAATGTTAATACCACTCTATAATGCCTTGGTAAAACCACACTGCATCCAGTTTTGGTTGCCATGGTGTAAAAAATATGTCGAGAATCTAGAAAGAGTGCAGAGAAGAGCAACAAAGATGATTAAGGGACTGGAGGCTAAAATATATAAAGAATGGTTGCTAGAATTGGGTATGTCTAGTTTAATGAAAAGAAGGACTATGAGCAGTGTTCCAATATCTAAGGGGTTGCCATAAAGAGGGAGTCAACCTATTCTCCAAAGCACTTGAAAGCAGGAGAAGCAGCAATGGGTGGAAACTAATCAAGGAGAGAAACAACCTAGAACTAAGGAGAAATTTCCTGACAGTTAGAACAATTAATCAATTAAACGACTTGCCTCCAGAAATTGTGGATGCTCCAAAACTGGAAATTTAAGAAGAGATTGGACAGCCATTTGCCTGAAATAGTATAGGGGGTTGAGCAGGGGGTTGGATTAGAAGACTTCCAAGGTCACTTCCAACTCTGTTATTCTTTTATTTTGAAATTAAACTTTGCCTACATTTACTTTGCTGTCCTCTGTAAAAAACATTCCAGATGTTCTTTCATTTTTTGATTTCCAACATTCAGGTAATACATAAGAGTCTGCTTTAATCTTGCACAGGTAGTCCTCAACTTACAACAGGTCGCTTAGTCATTCAAAATTACAATGGACTTCTCTGAGAATACTTATGACCTGGTTCTGAAGTTCCAAAAGCCATTCTCCACAGTTACATGGCACCATTTGGCAAAAGCCCACATATATGGACATTTGCAGAGTTTCGCAGTTATGTGATCACATTTTATGACAGTTTTACTGAAAATCCTCCTTTGGTTCTGGTTCTCACATAACCAACCTATAGTAAACCATTGGTTTGCTTCAGTATTGTGGTGTTTGCTTAATAACTGCCACAAAAAAAGTCATAAAATTGGGTCAATTACATAGATGGCCTTATTTATAACCATTACGACTTATGAGCTCCATTGCGGTTGTTAAGTCCAGTCCTACCTGTAATTGCAGTTTTTTTCTCACAAGCTCTTAAGAAATAATTCCCCCAAATATGTAACATCTGGCTGAGTTAGCTTAATTTGTTTAATATCTAGATTCTAGAACATTATAAAGCTTTGAGAAACTCAGCAACTCACTGTAGAGGCTCTTCTTGTTCTTCTCCAGAAAGGCTTGATCTTAGTAATGAATACTGCATAAAAATTATAGATTGCACTTGAAAGAATGGCTCTGAAAATGTTCTTTGTATATTTTAGTCCTGCCTTATGCATGAAGGCAGGCTGGGTAGCTTTGGGCCAGTCACTCTCTCTCAGCCGAACCCACCTTGCAGGGTTGTAGTTGTGGGTAAAATAGGAAGAGGAAGGAGTATTAGGTATGTTCACTGCAGTGAATTATTTATAAAAAGCAATAAAGGCAGGATGTAAATAAACATCATCATCAAATTAATAAACATTGTTATGCTATGCTATATGCTGTGCTATAAAGTATGCTATTTTTCAAAAAATAAAGACAGAAAGAACTTTTGCACCTCAAAACTGAATATACTGATCAACCTTAAAGATAATTCATTTTGTTTTAAAAGTGTTCCAGTCAACTATGTTAACATTCCAGTAAAACAGGACATCAATGTTATTCATTTGCACTGCATATAAGCGATTTGTTTTTGAAATGCCATTCTAGCATAACTTACCATAACTGGAAACTAGCAGCCTGTGTAGAATCACAGAAGTCAATTCCTACTGGAACGGTAATAGATTTCCCAGGTTCAAGGGATTCTAATAAACACAATGTTGTGAACACTGAATAAGTTTCAGATAAACCATCCTATCAATATCTAATCCTTATCTGTATTTATATATTTCTGTGTGTCTGCTAAAGTAAGTTATCAGCAAGAAATATGAGCAAATACTCAAATAATATCAATGTATAGAAGCTATCTTAATTTTCCTTTTGCCTGATTTAGCTTTGAGTTTTAAAATGGTGTTTATTTATCAAGGAAAATTACAGTTTGAATAAACCATCTGTCAACACCCTGAGAAGCTGAAGCAAGATATATTTATAATTTTGCAAGCCTGATATATATCAGAGATACTATTAGGACATCCTTAATGTTTTTATAACTGTAAGAAATTAATTAATCTGCTCAATTTAAAAATGAAATATGAAATATGAAAAAGGAGATTACAGAGAAATGTAGGGAAACTGTCACATGGGTTTTAAAAACATTTTTAAACAATAGAAAAATAGTATGTAATATCTTATTTAAAAAGATCAAAGACTTGCAGAAGAAATAATGGGACTTTCTGCTTTTCATTGTTAAAAATAAACCTCAAACCAAACGATAAACAAATGTTGAGGAATAAATTCTGTGATTTTATTTTCTCAATGTTTGCTTTATCTGAAAAGTAACCATAGTGAATGGTTAATCTGCATGTCTACAGATAATTTTGGATAGCTAGACCTTTGCATTTACTAACAATATTAATGTTACTTTTTCTGAATCTATTAACAGATTATAGTTCTCTGGGTTTTTTGTACATTTTCTTCAACAAGATCAGTATTTTTAGAACTTCATATGATTAGATCCTGACATGTCAAAGAACATTCAAACACCTCAAAGAAAAGGATTTCTTCCATTATCATCTAGTAAAGCAGTAAGAAACAGGAATTTTTTTTTGCAAATCCTCAATTCCCTCTGCAGCATCCAAAGCCAGATGCCAAGCAGTGGCTTTTCAAAGTAGTTTCAGAGCAACAGGAGGCAGGAGAAATGGGTAAATATTCTAAATATACTTTCTCCAGTTTCTTCCATGAATATCTTTTGAATGAAATTATATTTTAAAAATGTCAAAAGTGGGTGGGGAGTAGGGGAGAGAGGGGATGAAATAGGAAAACTTCTATTATAACTGCAGGGCTCCACTACATTTGAGAGTATAATCTAGATCATTTTATCATTGCTATTTAGTGCACGCATCTGTTCCGAACAATGAGGACTCCAAAATGACAAAACACGTGCTAAAGGCTAACTTTACCTTTTTATATTTATCTTGTAATATTCTGTTCAAGTACATAAAAGGCAGAATTTGCATCATGATGTCATGGCACATATTTTGCATAAGGCCCCCTGCAGATACCTTGTGCTATTTACCTTGCAATGATGTACTGTTTTATATAAAATTATTTTCTAAAAATGTAGTACAAGTTTACAACTTAATCATGTCTGCTCAGAAAGGAAACTATTTACACAAATGTATAAATCACGTCACAGATTACAACACATTTCAATGGCATTGCAAATATAATCATGGCCTGTATCATAAAACATTCAATATATAAAAGGCTAATTAAATCATGAACTAAGTTGATACACTGATTTTTTAAAAACATCCAAATCAGTATTTTTTTTAATTTACACAATGATGACTAGTTTCAAGATAAGAATTTAATTACCTATTGAATTAAATACGTGCATTCTCATGCCAGCTGGTAGCTTTTTTTCGCTTAAATGGATATTCTCTATCTTTTGGTCTGTGGTGTTAGTCAGCATCACCTGTACAGATACCATCTGATCACTATAAATGCACGGCTGTCTTGAGAAGTGATAATTGGCTGCTAATCCTTTTCCACTCATTCGGTGAAGGAGTTCATGAGATTTCATTGGCACAAAGAAGGGTGCACTGACCTGTTATATATGAAAAACAATTTTGTGATTATAGACTACTAAATAATTGTGAACAATCAAGTATAAACATTCATTCATTCATTCATTCATTCATTCATTCATTCATTCATTCATTCATTTTTCACAATGTTGAATTGCTCATCTCCCTCAGAGAGGGACTCTGGGCAGGGTGTAATAAAATGTTAGAATGTAAAAACAGTATATAAAAAGTTAACATTTTAAAAGGAAGTATAGATAATTGCAAACTGTTAAAATTACTTAAAAGTCAAAGGGAGGGCTCTCAGGGCAGTAGCCAACTCCATGGCTATATGTTCCTCTGCACTTCCCACACAAGGCCGCAGAACCATGTTTTAACTACTTTTTGGAATGCGAGAGTGGGGGAGGTCTGCTTCACCTCTGAGGGGAGAATATTCCACAGAGTGGGGACAATGACAGAGAAGGCTCTCTTCTTATAGACCATGCCAGTTGGAATTCTTTAATTGACGGGATCTGCAACATACCTTCCCTGCCTGACTAGATGGAATGGGTCAATGAAAGGGGACAAAGACAATTCCATAGGTAGTTTGGCCCTCGGACAATATTACATTCTACTGTGTTTCCCTGAAAATACGACCTACTCAGAAAGTAAATCCTAGTTTGATTTTTACACATGCACCCAAAATAAGCCCTACCGCCCCCCCCAAAATAAGCCCTAATTAAAACCCACCCACTCCAGGGTTCACGGGAAAAATTAAGCTAGGGTCGGGATGGGGTGCGTGAGCTGCCCTACCACTTACCTTTGGATAGTTGCAGCCAGGCCCTGCATACCTCAGCCCATTTCTTCTGCAGCTGGCAAGGCTTCCTTGAAGGCCTCTGCGGCCAATAACAGAACTCCGGATTGATCCGGAGCTCTGTTATCGGCCGCAGAAGCCTTCAGGAAAGTCTTGCTGGCCTTGCCAGACGAAGAAGTTCCTGAAGGTCTGACAGCAAAAAGGAGGCCAGGGGCAACACGTGCAAGTGACGTGAGTCAGAGGACGACCTCCTGAAAATAAGACCTGGTGCCTTTTTTGGTTGCAAAAAATATATAAGACAGGGTCTTATTTTCAGGGAAACACAGTGTCTGCTGCTAGCATTTCATGAAATTCTGTTTTACTTCATCAGACTGAATACCATTCTTAGTTGAAATGTTTCTGTGATATTTTTAGTAACAAGCAGAAAATTATCAAAGCCATTTTAAAATTACAATGGAAACCCATTACTTTTGATAGTTTGGAAGACCTTCAAGACCTGGCTATGTTATCCTGGGGGCTTCCCAGGAAACTACTAAGATGGTTCCATTGCTGATCTGGTTATCCTTATCCTCTCTTTGCCTAGGGTTTGTATCTCTGTTTTTTATAATGTTTAGCTGTTAAAGTGTTTTTATACTTTTTATATTGTTTTTATATGTGATTTTATCCACTTGTTGTGTGCACCACTCAGGTACTTTGGTGAGATAGGCAGCTATATAAATTTGATTAATTAATAAATAAAATAGTAAGAAAATAAATGTCAAAGAAAGTCAATGGCTTCTCCGGTGATTTCTAACAAGCAATGTCAATGGGGAAGCCAGATTCACTTAATAACTGTGTTATTAATTTAACAACTGTGGCAAGAAAGGTTGTAAAATGGGGCAAAATTCACTTAACTACTGACTTGCTTAGCAACCGAAATTTTGGGTTCAATTGTGGTTGTCAGTTGAGGAGTAACTATAAAGCAAATAAATTAATATAACCACTGATAGCATAGAGCAGGGGTGTCAAACTCGATTTCATTGAGGGCCACCTCAGGCTTGTGTTTGACCTTGGGGGGCTGGGGTGGGCATGGCCAGGGTGGGTGTGGCCAGCTCAACATCACTTGTGTCGGGGCATCTGTGGTGGCCCGAGCAGTCTTCCAGCAAAAACGGGCTTCCGAGCTCCGTTTTTGGCTGCAATGGCCTCCTGCAACCCTCTGCCAGTGAAAATGGAGCTCACACAGCTCTCCTGAGCTCCGTTTTCACTGGCAGAGGCACCGTGGGCCGGTCCTTCTGTTTCCAGGGTGGCCCTGCAAGCCAAATCTAAACACCCTGCAGGCCGGATCCAGGCCCCGCGCCTCGAGTTTGACACCCCCTGGCATAGAGTAATGGATTTATTATTTTATCAAATAAATATTTTATTAAAGTGTTTGTAGACTGCTTATTTGTACAAAGCCTGATGTGATTTACAATTGCAATGAAATGGTTACATTAAATCAAATACTTCAGTAAAAAAAAATTTAAAATATTATTGTGCATTGGAAAAATAAACATTAAAAAATGAGTTTTCATGAAGCAGCTAAAACATCCCAGGGTACAGACTTGGCATATTGCAAAGGGAAAATAATGTAAAGTAATTCCAAAAATATTAACATTCTAGTAAGTATTCTTATTGTTCTCCGAGCTTGGTTTTTCTTGCAGACATTTCATTAGCACTCTAGGTTACATCATCAATACTCTGGCACAGGAAAATGAGATTTGGTGATTATATATAGCAGCTTGTCCTATCAATCCTATGTGGATATGTGGATATTGTTTTTATTTGATTGCTCTTGCTTATCTGGTGCTGTTTCCGGCTTCTCTGATGATCTAAATTGTATAGTACTTTAGCATGAATTATGGTACTCAAGATAATTTTCAAGTGAGAAAGAATGGAACTGTTTCTTTTAGCATTGGTTCAATTAAAATATTCAAAAAACAGAAATATGTGGCTTAATGCATTAACATGAATTTAGCTACAGTATGATAACCAACAACAAATCCCACTGGTATATGGTTAAGAAAATCCCCTATATACTTTTGTATGTTTGAAGAAATTCAGTAGACATATTAAAGGAAATCTATGTGCCTGTAGATACAGAGACAAGCCACACATATTTTATCAGTTTATTACAGTAAGCAAATAAGCGTGGAATGAGAGTGCACATAACTGTCTACTTAGTGCTTACTGAAACATTTATAAAAGCTGTTATCTCACTAATAACAGACAGACAGCATACAATTTTAGAAAGGAAAAAGCTTCATATTTTCAACACTTCACTAAAAAGCAACTGAAGAGTGTAAAATGAAAAATACTCTGTGTAGTTAGCTGGTAATGGACCATATTATCAACTCAAGTTAGATTTATATGATACAAACTAATCACTAATAGTTATTTTATGATATGGCATGTCTGATTCTTAGGGGGGTAGATTTAAGATTAAAATCATAAAATGTTTAATGCCACTGCTTAAACTGACTAAAATATAGATTAAAAACAGAAAGAACATGTACAATTCAAGCAGCTAAACTCTGAGATAATCTTGCAAAAATATGCAATCCAGAAGTCAAATGAGGGCAAATTAATGTGCTACAATGAGAAAAGTCATTTTGCAAATTAGTTTTGGACCTGAAACTGGGTTATAGCTTTCTGTGACCTAGCTCTACATAAAAACATTCCAAAACTTTCCCAATTTTAGAAATTTACAAAATAATTCCAGACCATTTATCTTTATGATGAAATTCAGAAAACAATTCTAAATTTCAGAATCGAACAGGCCTAGAGTTTGTATTAGCATTACAAGCAGAGAGCGCAGAAACTGATACTACTAGCTTAATACTTTTTAAGTGTCTTTCTGCACAAGAGTAAAGTAAAACATCTGAAACAAAAAAGGACCACATTGCACAACTTGGAACCACATGTTCCACCTACCACCCAGAGGCAAACCACTAATTATCTTGTTATCTTTTTGGGACTGCAAAAACATAAGGCTAGCAAGCATGTACAAGCCATCCTCTCCATTGGGCTTGGCAGATCAGAAGTTGAGACACATTTATTTCCCTATATAGGTTGCCATGTAATAAAAGTACTGAACTGATGGAAAATTGAAGCTTAAAAGAATTGCATTTCTTTGCAGGTCACAAAATATGGATTATTATTAGTGCATTCAGAGACTTAATTCAATTTCTCTCAGTACTTTGAACATTTAAATGCATTTTTAATTTTAAAAAGCACCCATTATTTGAATAAAGATAATTGCTATTTCAGTGCGCCCTTTTCCAAATGAAAACATTACTGAAGTAATTGCAAATTTGTTCTATTGAGTCATGCCCAGAAAGTTTTGCCTTTATAGACTGTACCTTTTCATATAGTTTTATTATGCCCATATTGAATATATGAAACTGTAAGGAAGTATTATCTGACTTTCTCAAATGAAGCACCATCAATATATTAATGGTTATTGCCATTAAGTTAAATCACAAAACTCCAAAAAAAATGATCTTGAATATTGCTTGGATTCAAATTCTTGGGTAACAAAAATTGTTTTTAGATAAACTGAAGTGATACTGGTTAGTAGGACATCTGGTTTAAGAATTCAGATTCAATTGGCTTTGGAACTGGTTACATTACACACTTAGGAGGCTGTTCCTTGAAACTATACTAACCATCCATCTTCGGGACTCAATAGTTGTTTCCAAAACTTGATTTTGTGTGTAACTATTTGCTCTTCCTAAATCAATATGATATAGTCACTTATGCTCTGGCCATTACTGTAACACATTTAGAATGTTGCAATGCCATTTATATAGGACTCCTTTTAGAAGTGTCTAGAGTTTGAACTGGTAGTAAATGTGTTATCTAGACTGTTTACTATTGCTGCATCATGTTCATGTTACTCCAACACTGAAAGTTCTACAACAGTTCACAGTTCTTTTCTGCTCACAATGCATAGTGCCGTTATTATAATTTCAAACATTTCAAACTTGAAATTGCTTGGGACTATCTGACTATCTGAGGGACTTCCTGGTTCATTATGAACTACCCCTATTGCTATGATTTATGTATTAACCAGCGGTGGGATTCAAAACATTTTTACTACTGGTTCTGTGGGCATGGCTTGGTGGGCGTGGCATGGCTAGGTGGGCGTGGCAGGGGTAGGATACTGTAAAATCTCCATTCCCTCCCCACTCTAGGGGAAGATTACTGTAAAAT